CACCTCAGAGCAAATCAGACTTCAAAATCACCAGTAACAAAATTAATAATGTGTTACTATCACACATAAAACAGAAACTAGATGGAAAAAACCATCCACCCATTTTACAGTCACATACACTGTGCTCTTCTTTCACTCTGAGTATCTCATAGGAAATTATTAACTCCATTATTATGAACACATTGCAGCCTTTTGCACATGCTCCAGCAAATAGCCATTAGCATTATGATGCAAAGGTGATGGCATAGCATATATTTTATATCTCTCAGCCTTTATTCACTGAACACTTCAATCTATCTGGTTTATTTGTAAAATTACTGTCTCCCATGTTTAAGATGTGGCTTAGGCTTGCTTTGCAGAACACCTATGACTTCACACTAAACTCAGTGTACTCCGATAACCTCTCTTGTTACAGATAAAAACATAATTCAGTGTTGACTCTAACACAAACAGGATCATTATGTTTAGAGAGTGTTCCAAAGCCTGCTATCCAAGCAATCTATGGCATATAAATAATGCAAGACCTCTTCTTTCTCCAAATGACTTCAGTTCAAGCAGACTCAGAAAGATGGAAGCCCAAATTTATACTGCCATTACAAAATTCAATCTATTTCTGGTTCTTCAATTGAATTATGACTCAGAGGCTTCCACTATTTTCTGCACCAACCTATATACTCCCAACCTGTGCAGAAAAGAATCCTATTTGTGACTATTCCTGAGCTTTATTATTATTACATTAAAATGGCAGCAAATCCCAACTAATCTGAAAAGCTTCCTGTCTGCTTTTAAAGGAAAGTAAGGTAGAAAACGGGTCTTATTTCCCCTCCCCCCGACCTCTGAACCACAACCTCCTCACCACTAAAGCGTTCAACACCTCATTTAATCTCTCCTCGCTGCATTGGCGCAGCGCTGCAAAAGGGAAAGGGAAAAAAAATAATCTGGAGACTTCATCAATTTTTCATGAATTTTCATTTAGGCCAGAGCCCCCTGTAACAGTGGTCGATAGATCAAGCTGCTGTCACATATTTAACACCTGGAGCTACAGCTGCTCTCCCTGGGGGCTGCTGCTGACTCCGGCTGGATCAGAGCAGCCCTGGCCAGCGCAGGGACCCTGGTGCTCCTTCCCCAGCTCACAAGTGGCTCCCTGGTGCTCCCAGCTGAAATCCTAGCTACCCTCACTGCTGCTGCAAATGTGTTTCCTGATATTCCCGCCGGAAAACTCCACCGGCGCAGCTTCGATCGCCTCAACTGGAGCATTGTTTAAAAAAACCTGATTTTATTTTAAGATTTCTGGTGTTTGAATACGAAAGCAGTTTGGTGAAAGAGCAAACTGTTTCCAGCCTACTTCTAAATCCTCCCAAGAAAACATGAACATCAACATACATCCAATAATGCCAACCCTTGTTCAATTTCAATTAAAAAACTCTTCAGAACAAAATCTAAAGAAAGATGTTTTACTCTTTTGAATACAACTCTTCACAGAGGTTTTAGGGCTAGAACATCTGTTTTTAATGATTTAACCATAAAACAAAAACACTACATGAGAATTTGCCACATACAATTTGGAAGACTTCTTTGACTGCTAGCATTAGGATTATTTTTTCCTTCTGAGGAAGCTGCTACAGAAGAATTAATCTACATGAAGCACACCTTGAATGAATGTCTTAAAACAAATAGAATAAGTCATATCTATCCTAAACTGTGCCTTCAAATAATAACTCTTTCTTCTAAATACCAAATATTTCTTCTTAAATGTCTTCAGGAATTAAGATATTCTAAATTAAAAGCAAAAATATTCTAAAAGCATATTCATTATATTAATGGTGCTTTTTAAAGTAACTTTCTAAATCACAGTTCTCCACAGTTTTACTGGGATGGACAAATTTTTCTGAGGATGTACATTAGTACAAAAATACCTGTCCTGGACTGTATGCATGTACTCTAAAGAAGCATGGATGTAGAAGTACACCTTATGTGATTTATAGGGGCTGGTAACTAAATTCATGTCTGGGAAAGGTGTAAACAGTTACTCAACCGAAAAGAGCTTAGGGGATTTCAGCAACTTAAAGAAATTCACTCCAAAAAAAAAAAAAAAACCAAAAGGGCAAAATGACAGTGTTCAAGATGGTTTGAACCACTTTGTGTCCCAGGTGAATTTAACTTCTGTCTTTACACATAAACATGGATACATCAGAAGACTTTCAATCCCACTGCTTTGGTGTCATGGAGGGGGTAAATAGAAGGAAATAAAAGAAAATTTATCATAATTAACACTGTTTATCATATTAATGCATAAGCACAAACACATCTAACATACATACAAAATGAATAGATATTTCTCCATAAATCATTCAAAAGTTGCAAGAACACATTATTGGAAACTGCCAAGTTAATAAGCAAAGTAAAACAATTACAGTTTGTTACTCTAAACCAGCACACTCAGGCATTTCAAACCTGTGAAAACCAGCAGTTTGCCTCTCGTGGCACTATTTGAGGCCACCTACAGTCAGATAAGAATCCAGAACCTGTTGACAGCAGAAGACAACCTCCCTGTTTCTGGTGATGAAAGGAGCTTGGCTCGGTGTGGGAAGGAGAGTTTTCAACACCACGACAGCGAGCACGAGCCAGGCTGGATCGCGCGCGGCCCCACGGACAGGGCTGCAGCATCCGGGCAGCTCAGCAGGTTCCCAGCAGGAACTGAGGACAGGTCAATGGGAACCCACTGCTGACAACAGCCTGGCACCAGGAACTCACTTCCTGAGCCTGCAAACAGGCTGCTACAGGCCTGCCCATCTTCTTCAGCCCAGAAACACTGACACCAGAAAGACAAGAAAGAGACTCCAACTGCTCCCTGAAAGTCACTCAAAAAACCTGATTTACAACCAAAAGTTCCCATATCCCAACAAAAACTGCATTTTTCCTATCATCTTCCAAAGGATGCCTTTGATACACACCGAGCACTGCCATGTGCTTTTAAAAATCACAGCTGAAATCTCAAATTTTAAGTAAACAAGAAATGTATGTCTATTTACATGTTGCTTCTTTGATGAAGGCCTTTCTGTAATTGCAGCCATGGTACTGCTCAAGGAAGGATAAAGCACTGCTGAAGTGAAATAGGAGGACCTGCTTTAGACTACTAAACCCTTTAATGGGGGTTTCAGGAAGTTAAATTTCAAAGCTATGGAAACAGTAAAAGCACAATATTATCGCAAAAACTTGGGCCATGGTTTCAGATCTCAGTTTCACATTCACATTGCTGCTGCCGTAAAACAGCTGACAAAGTAGAACAGCTTTATTGTTTTTAAAATTTTCTACTATCTCCCATGTGATTCATGCCTGACCTGCCACCAGCTACAGCATTTAAACTCCAAAGATGGAGGATGGTGTAACAAGAGTCTTGCAGCAGTCAATAAAGTAAGGATCAGTGAAAAACTGACAAGATACAGAACACATTTAAATTTCAAAATAATCAGTTTGCTGACTCAAGGTACAACAGGAACAATCCTTCGAACTTCAACAGGAGATCCTGAATCTCAACAGGGTTACAATAAAGATTTCAAGTGTTTAGGTCTCTCAGGATTTCTCAACAGTAAAAACACATGTACAAAGACACAAATAATCCAGTAAATTTATCTAGTAATACTCACCCAGATTTCAGCCTTCCTTAAGCTGGTTTCTCCTCTACTCCCAAGTACCAACCAAAACTGAAAAGTTTCCTGTGATGCATTTACTGGCACATTTACTTCTGCTTTGATAGTGAGCCAAAAACTGTTTTCATTTTGTATTTGACACAGTTTTGAATCTAGGTTACCACAGGTGAAATGCAGTGAAAATGTCTGTTCTACTTGGCTTATTCTGCCACTTAAATATTTCAAAAATGGCATTTTCTGCAATTTCTGAGAAAACAGAAGCCACAAGATCACACCATATTAGCTAGGAGTCTGAAGACTGCATTAGGAACACAGATTTCTCTTTTATGCTTCCTCCCTTTAAACATACCATCTACTGTGTCTCTTTAAACATACCATCTACTTAAATATATTCTTTATCAACTAAGCAATACAAATTTGTTCTAGAGCCCTACTTCAAACACATTTTAGGGAAACTGCTTTCAGATGAAGAGCTGTGGGTGAAAAACTCAAGCCCAGCAACACAAGAGCACGCATAAATGTATTTAAATACATTAGGCAAAGATGCACATTCTGAATAAAAAGATACATGTTGAGTCAACCCATACAACTAAGGAGCAAAAAAAAAAACAAACATGTGCAACTGATTATATTTTATGTCTGATGAGCTTGTTTGCTGTGAATATAATGAATCTATCTGCTAACTCTACTGGAAGCAGACTACTCATGCCAGGTGGGCTCTGAAAGAGCCCCGCTGACTTCTCTCTCAAGACAAAGAGAATCGATAAAGACCATGACTGCTCTGGACGATATGAGAAATGGACAACAATTTCACTTGCCACTCACATAATGAATGAGGCCTAGGTCAAATTTATGATTGAGGAGCATATATTGAGGTTCCCAGCAGTACAGAACATGAGTCACCAAGATGCTGTCTGCTTCTGTTGAAGTAACAGATTATGAGATAAAGAGAAACAGACAGTGCACCTTAGATTACATGATAGGTATTTTTCCACATTAGTTCCAGCATAACCAACTCTAGACATCATTTAAAAATTAGATTATTCTTCAGAGAAAGATTATCCTTTGTCCATGTTATTCTTCAGAGGAAGATTATCTTTTGTCCACATTTGTGCCAATCATGATTATACTCTGGCTAGAACCTCATTTCAGTATAAATCACTTACTCTGTACGGTCACTGCTACTGAACAAACACAAGTGAAAATGCCTTGAACAAGAGCAGCAACTAATGACAAAATTCTGCACTTATCCCTATTTGTTATCTGCCAGAAGTGTGTGCAAGCGCTGGGGTGGCAGCACAAAAGCCACCATGAAGTTTCACAGAACACTAAACGAATAACACTACTCACATGCCACTTCCAGGGACGCGTTGCGACTCACGGCTTCCCCAAGGTAGTTCCTTGCTACACAAACGTAGCTGCCCTCGTCGGGTTTACTCCTGCGCCCGTGCACGATGCGCAGGAAAAATAAAGATCCGCTGGGCAGCAGCATCCGGTGGGAGCGCGGGTCGTCCTTGTCCGTCTCCACCCGCTCGCCATCCTTGTACCACTCGATGGTGGGGGTGGGCCTCCCCTCTGCCTTGCAGTTCAGAGTGGTTGGCTCTCCTTTAGACACTATCACATCTGAGGGATGCTCAACAATCCGTGGTGGAAAGTCCTCTTGGCGGAGACGGGATCCTGAGGAATAGAACAGAGGGAGGGGAGAACAATTTAGTTGTGCTTTAGGCATCATGAAGAGCTCTTGCAAGTTACTCCTTTAATGTCACAAAAACAGAAAAAAAACCCTTTACAACATATGCGATTACTTTGTCTGATATCAGAGACTGTATCAGATACTCCCCCTATCTAAAAATCTGAGATGGACCAACAGAGATAACCCTCTATAGTGTTACCAAACCCATACCAGATGCAGACTGTGCTCAGAGGAGGATCCCTTACATATACATGTATGACAATCTTTTCCATTTTATTTTTTTCTCTGATTATCTTCCTATTTACATTTACTTCTAGATCACTGTGCACTTCCTAATTCCCCTCATAGCTACTGCTTTCTTGTCCTTTCATCTGCCAGATTCAACAGAAGGACATCCAAAACCACAGTCTCTTACCACCTCCATTAGTTAACAGCTCTCTGCAGCCTAACATGTACACTTTGTATATCTTGTCCACAAACAGCCCCAGTATGGAAAGAGAAGCAGAAAAAGCAAAGCCAAAAGGGAAATCTCAAATGTCAGCTCACTTTAGAAATTTTCAGTTTCAGGAGTGCATGTGCACACACACATATAAATACAATATAAGCAGAGAATCATACAAGGGCCTGGGTTGGAAGGGACTTTTAAGCTCATCTCATTCCGACCCCCTACCATGGGTAGGGATACTTTCCACTAGACCAGGTTACTCAGAGCCCAATCCAACCTTACCCTGAACACTTCCTTCCACAGTAGTGGTACAGACACTTTGCACCTCTGCATGTCTAATTAGACTACATGAACCTGGAAAAATATTTCTGCAGCAGTCACGGCAGTTGGTGCCTCAAAAATAATCTTTTCTAGTGTGGATCCTGAAAGGCCTTTGAGTGGAGCTGCCACAATTGGTCTGCACTTCTGAAATACAAGGTAAACCAGCCTCTGCAGGTTAGTGAAACATTTGTCTCAATTTTCTGATCAGCAGTTTTGCTGAGTGGTAGAAAAGCAAATGTCTTAATTACAGTCTAGGCTCCACATACTTTAAAATATTTTCCATGCCTCATTTACTGCAAAAGTTATGAGGAAAGGCATAAGGATCCATTCAACAGAGTGAATCCACCTTTGGACTTCTGTTTTACTAACACTCAGGTCATTAAGCTAAGGCTTGCCACTGCAGTTAAGTGTTACATTGCTGTTGCACAAATTGGCTCTTTCAGTGGCTTCCAGATTCTATTACCAGAATTGCAAAGAAATCCATAATCTGCAATGCCTGTACATGAAAAAACCCATAATCTATAGCTAAACACAGATGAACTTATGGAACATTTGGAAGAGACATATATTTTATTCTCACTTGTACTGACTAAAAAAAAAAAAAAAAAAAAAAAAAAAAACAAAACCAAACTAATAGGAGGATCTCCAGCTAAAATATAACCCTAGTCCATGACCCTATACACTTCATCAAAAAAGACTAAAATCACCATTAAAGTAAAAGATAAATATCTGACAGCACATGGAACTAAAAAGCCAACTTCACACTCTGATTTGCAACATTTGTATGTCCAGACATGTCTAACAACTTAATTCATTGCTTATTCTCAAAAAGCAAACAAAACCCCCCTAGATGTGTTAAGAAATTTCTATTAACAGTATCAGGAAGAAAAGGAAAGCTGAGGTGTTTCTGCAACATGAGAGGGACTTAGGGCAGAGAACAGATAGAACTGAATTTTGATAAATGCTTAACACAGGGTAACAAAATCGGTAGCAAGAAATGTGAAACACAATTCCAAAATATTAGTTTTCTTGTACACAAAGGACTGTTGATAGTGTTCAGAACTCCTAAAAGTATATCCTACAGATTTACAGGCCATGTTTAAAGCTGTGCAAAAAGCTTTCTCCCATAAAAAGTTTATCCTTACACCACCCAATTAAAATCCCTCCTGAGGTCACAATAGGGCTGATTCTTGCTCTTCAGTATTGATGCTTATCACAAAATCTGGTGCTTATTCACTCCATCCTAATCAAGCAATTTGTGCACAAGGGAGGGTTGAGATGAGAGCAGCCAGGACCATGCCAATGTACAAGGAGAAAGGCTCAGGAGGTGTTTCAAGGGGGGGTCAGACCACACATTGCTGTCATGGCTGGGTGCACCTTCAGCTGTCCAGGGCTACAAGGAATTGCCCTCATCATGCACTTAGAGGAGGGGAGAAGCAAAACACACACAAGACCGTTCACAGAGCACACTCAACTCCCTCCTTCCAAAGTAAACTGAGCACCAACAAGCATTCCCAAAGGTTATGCTGATTTAAAAACAACAAAGGAAACCACAAATTTGGCACCACTGTCTGTCTCTAGACACTGTCTGCATATCAGAAAGAGATAGATGCAAGCGGTGCTTGATTCTAGTTTTGATTCTTTTGCTATGGTCCCCCTCCCAATTCTCTTACGAGTATAACCTCAGAAGAAACAGAAAGGAACAGAAATTCTAATAACCCCATGAGCTGTCTGGGCAGAAGATGCTCTTACTGCAGAGCAAGGTGCAACCATGACCTTAAGCAGGCAGCTGTGGTATATCCTGGGCTACCTATACAGCTTCCTTTTCTGTTCCTCCCCCCAGGATTTCCATCGGGTGCATGCATAGAGCATATGAGCAACCCCTGAATTTAGAAGCCCTTAAGTCCTTTCTATGATAGGCTGCAATGACTTCACATGAGCTTCTATGTGCTGGTGAGCAAAAGCAATATTTCTACAATATTAGAATTTTTGGAAGTATTCCACAGGAGGGTTCCAGCACCTCACCACCCTCACAGTCAAGAATTTCTGCCTAATATCCAATCTAAACCTACTCTCAGTTTAAACCATACCCCCTTGCCGTGTCACTCCAGGCTCTTGTAAAACATCTCTCTCCATCTTTCCTTTAGGTTCTCCACAGTGAGATCACCTCAAAGCCTTCTCTTGCCCAGGCTGAGCAATCCCAGTTCTCCCAGCCTTTCCTCCCAGCAGAGCTGCTCCATCCCTGTGATCCCCTTGGTGCCTGCTCTGGCCTGGCTCCAGCAGGTCCCTGTCCTTGCTGTGCTGGAGCCCAGAGCTGATGCAGCCCTGCAGGTGGGGTCTCAGCAGAGGGGGCAGAGGGGCAGAATCCCCTCCCTGCCCTGCTGCCCACGGGGCTCCGGAGGTATCCCAGGGCATGTTTGGCTTTCCAGGCTGCCAGTGCTCATGGCCAGCTCATGTCCAGCTTAATAGTGTGCTGTGGCATGCTTATGTGTGATTAAATTAATCTTCACTTTAAATTGAACATCAAGTTCTGAACTTACACTGCCTAAGATCCTGCAATACAATGTTTTGTCACTCTAACAAACACAGCTTTCATTTTCAGACACCAGAGCCTGCTAACTACTGACAATTGCTGACCTGATAAATGCTGACTGATGGGAAACAATGTAGTTCTCATAATAACTGGTGACATTATAGATTTGTCATAAACTGTCACTTCATAAGTAAAGAACATTTGCATTCATATCTACCTTAATGTGAATTATTTCTGCAGCAATCATTGCTAATGTCCTTTGAGGTCAGGACACTGAACAGAAAAAGCCCAGCCTCATATTGAAACCAAGAAAAAGGAAAGTTCTGGGGGACATATTTTGTCACCAAAAAGCAAAATAATGCTCCAGTTATTTGTCTGTCCCTGTGTAACATGTATTGTGTTATATATATTCACCAAAACTTCTTACACTCTCCTTCCTGTATTATGAATTTATGTAGTTATATATTCTAATCAAGGTAGGGAAAGAAAGTAAGAAAAGTGAGGAAAAATCGACAAAAGCAGAACAAAAACTACAATGTAGCCTGCATATTGTTACTTCAGGTGTCAACACACTGCTCTTCCACTCCCCTACTTAATTCAGATGTGTTGGACAAGAAATTCCCTGAGAATCACCTCCAAGACTACTCCTTTGGGAAGTGTAAAAGACAACAATCACTCATTCATTTCAACCACTTCAACACCAGGGTGCCAACTAAGTCAGGTCTTCCCCACAACTACCACCGAGCCTCACGGATTTGCTTTTATATGCTCAGACTTCCTCACAAGTCTCCTCAGGGACCCAGTGCACAATATAGTTACAGCTACACTGGTAGCATTATCAGGAAAAGGCCTATTATTTTCAGTTTAGTCTGGCTGATCCTACAGCCAAATAACCCTAAAAAAATTATTTGGATGCGAGAATTTTTATTAATAAATGAAACAGATTTGCTATAGACACACAGGTGCAAGTAGGAAAAGAGATTAAACCAAAGAGTCAATACTGTATTCCTTTTTACTGCATTTCCTCAGAGTCACTATGCAATCCCTGTCCTAAGAGCAATCACAGGTTGCTGGTCTAGGACTCTAAATATCATCTAATTCCAAACCCCCTGTCATGACTCAACCAGGTTGCTCAGAGCTCTGTCCAACCTTCGTGGGATGGGGCATCCACAACCTCTGTGGGTAATCTGCTCCAGTGCCTCACCACCCTCACAGTTAAGAATTTCTTCCTAATATCTAATCCAAACCCACTCTCGGTCAGTTTGAAGCCATTCTCCCTTATCCTGTCACTCCATGCCCTTGCAAAGTCTCTCTCCATCTTTCTTGGAGGCTCCCTCCAGATGGGAGGGCCTGGAAGGCTTCAATTGGGTCATGTGCCCTCTGTCTAACATAACACAAATCATCACAGAAAAAGGCATTTGGCAATTCACTTTTTAGTCCTCTTAGTCCACTATCTTTCAAATTTCTAGGAAGAGACTTTCATTTATGGCGCTTCACATTCTTCTAGTTTTAATTTAATTCACATAGAGACCAAATGTTGATTTAATCTATTAAGCCTACTCTCTAAATAATCATCTACAAAGCTAATGATCTGTCACACCAGGAAAGCAACAGTACAGACTAAATTCAGAGACAGTTAACTCATTTCTCAAATCAACAAAACATGCATGGCTACTGGGCCAGTG